GAAACAGGCCATTCAGCCCAACAAGTCCACACTGCCCTTCTGAAGAGCATCCCACCCACACCCATCCCCCTACCCTTTCTCTGTAACCCTGCATTTCCCACGTCTAATCCACCTAATTTACACACCCCTCGACACTACAGGCAATTTAGCATAGTCAATCCACCCAACCTGCACATCTTTGGGCTGTGGGAGGAAACTTGAGCACCCAGAGGAAACACACACAGACATGGGGAGAATGTGCAAACTCTACACAGACAGTCGCCTGAGGGTGGAATTGAACCCAGGTCCCTGGGCAGCAGTGCTAACCACCGAGCCACTTTGCTGCTCACTAGTGTGGATTATGGAATAATAGGCTATAGGGCAAGAAAACAATAATGAATGGATTACATGCCTTGAATTGGTGTATCTTTCTGAACACAGTATTGGCAGAAAATGATCAAGAGAGGGTACATATTTTCCGTGACAGGAGATCTGAAAGCTACAGTCTCTCAGGAACTGAATTGTCCTCTCTTGGCTGATGAATAAATTCTCCTCCATTTTGAACAACACTTGAGGAAGCACTGAGGGCAGCAAGGCATCAGAATGTACTCTGGCTTGGATTTGATTTCAATCCCCACCACCAAGAGTGGCTTGGCAGCAACACTACTGAAAGGACTTGGCTACTAGACTGGATCTGAGCCAGGTGGTGAAGGAAACAACAAAAGGAAAAAACATATTTGATCTTATCCTTACCAATCTGCCAGCTTAAATCCACTATCCATGACAGTATCGGTAAGAGTGACTATTGTACGGTCCTTGTGGAGACAAAGCCCTGATTTCACATTCTGTATTGCTATCACCATGATAAGTCAGACAGACTACAAGCAGATCTAGTAACTCAAGACTGGGCATTCTGATGATACTGTGACTTTAAGAGGTGTACTTTTTCCTGGGTTTTTTTTGGAAGAGAAGTTTAAAGGTCGAGGTAGTGAGCAATCTACCAGAGCCACTAGAGTAAACAGCTTGTGAGGCCTTGGTTTTTTTTACAGTTGGAAGATTAGAAGCAGGCTTAATGGGTGTGGTCAAGCTCTCACGGAACCAGGATTTTTGGTTTTGCTGTTGGGGTCTTGCTATTTTTTCCTTCTCTCAATTACAGCCAAAAGCTGGGGCTTCTCTTCCTGCTACTGGAGTTATATATGAGACAATCTGTTTTCTGAATTTGCCTTTTGCCCTGGTATATTTTTGGGATGTTACTATATTGGAACAGTTAATTAGTAATAGTTAATGTTTGGGTCCGGTAAGCCTTCCTCAGAACTATTCCGAGGAAGGGTCACTGAACATTCAACTTTAACTTTGAATTCTCTTCACTGATGCTGCCAGACCTGCTGAGCTTTTCCAGCAACTTCTGTTTTTGTTTCTTATTTACAGTTTCCGCAGTTCTCTTGGTTTTTAAATAGTAATAGTTACTGTATCTATTGTTCTATTAAGTTTTCCAATAGAGCTACGTTATTCCAATTCCTTCTTTATTTTGTTGCATTTTAACTTTAGTGGATGGATAAAGTGTGTTTTGCTTCAGATCCAGTAGTTTGGCCAAGTGAATTGTATCTGGAATGCATTTAGCTTTAAAATAAAATTAGGTCCTAGGCTATCTTGTTAACATATTTTGAGGGAGTTTGTTTGGTTCATAACAGCATCCAGAGGTGTGAGGGCCATCTACAGCAGAATTGTACTCCAGTACAATCTGCAATCTCATGGCCCAGCATATTCCCCGCTCAAACATTGCCTTCAAGCCAGGGGATCACCCTTGGTTCAGAGGAGAGTGCATACCAGGAGCAGCAGCAGGCATACCTAAATATGAGGAGTCAACCTGGTGAAGCTACCAAACAAGATTACTTACATGCCAAAGAACATAAGCAGAAAAGTGATAGACAGAGTTAAGTGATCCTATAACTAATGAATCAAATCTAAGCCCTGCAATCCAGTCATGAATGATGGTGCACAACTAAATAACTCACTGGAGGAGGAGGCTCCACAAATATCCCCATCATTAATAATGGAAGAGCCCAACATATCAGTGCAAAAGATAAGGCTGAAGCATTAGCAGCAATCTTCAGCCAGAAATACCATGTCGATGATCCATCTTGGCCTCCTCCAGTTGTCGCACGCATTACAGATATCAGTCTTCAGCCAATTCGATTCACTCCACATGATATCAAGAAACAGTTGGAGTCACTAAATACTGCAAAGGTTACGGGCCCTGACAACATTCCAGCAATAGAACAGTAGACTCCAGAATTTGCTGCTCTCCTAGCCAAGCTCATCCAGTACAGCTACAACACTGGCATCTATCCAGGCACGTCCTTTACACAAAAAGGACAAATCTAACCCGGCCAATTACCAGTACATCAGTCTACTCTCAATCATCAGTAAAATGATGGAACATGCCATCAATAGTGCTATTAAGCAGTACCTGGTCAGCGATATCCAGCTCAGTGATGCCCAGTTTGGGTTCTGCCAGGGCCACTCAGCTTCTGACATCATTGCAGCCTTGGTTCAAACATGGACAAAACAGCCAAATTCCAGAGGTAAGGTGAGAGTGACAGCCTTTGACACCAAGGCACATTCGACCAAGTGTGGCATCAAGAAGCCCTAGAAAAAATGGGAATCAATGGGTCTCAGAGGGCAAACACTCCAGTGGTTGGTGTCATACCTGGCACATAGGAAGATTGGGTTATGGTTGTTGGAGGTCAGTCATCTCAGCTCCAGGACATCTCTGCAGGAGTTCCTCAGGGTACTGTCCTAGGCCGAACCATCTTCAGCTGCTTCATCAATGACCTTCCCTCCATCGTAAGGTCTGAAGTGGGAATGTTCACTAATGATTGCACCATGGTCAGCACTATTTGCGACTCCTCAGATACTAAAGGAGCCCAGGCTCAAATGCAACAAAATCTGGACAATATCCAAGCTTTGGCTGACAAATGGCAAGTAACATTTGCACTACACAAATGCCAGGCAATGACCATCTCCAATAAGATACACTCTAACCATTGCCCCTTGAGATTCAATGGTGTTACCATCTTTGAATCCCCCACTTTCAACATCCTGGAGGTTACCATTGACACCATCCCGGACAAAGCAGCCCACTTGATTGGCACCACATCCACAAGCATCTACTTCTTCCACCACCAATGCTCAGTTGTAGCAGTGTGTACTATCTACAAGATGCACTGCAGAAATTCATCAAAGATCCTCAGACAGCACCTTCCAAAATCATGCCAACTTCCATCTAGAAGGACAAGGGCAACAGATATTTGGGAACACCACTACCTACAAGTTCCCTTCCAAGCTACTCACCATCCAGACTTGGAAATATATCACCATTCCTGTACTGTTGCTGGGCCAAAATCTTGGAATTCCCTCTCTAAGGGCATTGTGGGTCCAACTACAGCATGTGGACAGCAACAGTTCAAGTAGGTAGCTCACCACCACCACCTTTGGAAGGGCAACTAGGGACGGGCAATAAATGCTGGCCAGCCAATGATGCCTATGTCCCACAAGTAAATAATAATAAAAAAAGACTTTCGCCTCTACAGCCCTTTATGATCATGAATTCCACGGATTGACTACCCTCTAAGAGAAGAAATTGCTCCTCAGCTCTGAAATTATGCCGTCTGGTCCTAGACTCCTATAAAGGGACACAACCTCTCAGCATCTACCCTGTAAAGTCTTGTATGTTTCAATAAGGTCACTTCTCATTCTTCTCAACTCCAATGAGCACAGGCCAAACCCATTCAAACTCTCCTCATAAGGAAATTCCTCTACACCTGGAATCAACCTAGTGAACCTTCTCTGTTCTGCCTCTAATGCCAGTGTATCTTTCCTTGGACAAGGGCACCAAAACTGTTTACAGTATTCCAGCTGAGGTCTGACTCATGCCTTGGATACTTTTAGCAAGACCTTCCAACTTTTATACTCCATTCAATCAATTTATTTTCCCTATTACCTGCTGAACATGTATGCTAACTTTTTGTGATCGATGCATGAGGACTCCCTAATCCTTCTGCAGTAGCTTTCTGCAGCCTTTCTCTATTTAAAACCAACAGAAGGAAGGTCAAGAGGAAAATATAAGGAAGAGCAAGTGCTCTTTGCCTGTCACTTGTAGACAAATCCAGCCTAGAGTGCTCAGGGTAAGAATTTTAATGTTTTATAGATATGTATTAGTAACTGAGTGATGCAGAGAGACCAGACCAAAATGAGTATTTAACATTTCTGTTTCATTTTTAAAATGTCCTGAGATGATTAGCCACACTCCTGAATTAAATAGCTGGTGTCAATTGACATTAGTAAGGCAAATGTTTGATGGCTAAAAATAAACTTACCTTTTGTAATAAGTAACAAAATTAACTTGATCAATACATGTTTAATAGTTTATTTTAATCAGATTTTTCTGATGGGACCAAAATGTATCCACTTTTGTAATTCTCATTTATTTGTTGGAATTAACATGCAAGTTCAATGTTTTCTCTTCTTCTTCAGTCTGCGAATAAACCCTTACTATTGACTTTTGAGTAACATTTGTGAGAAATACATCTGTATTTTAGAGAGACAGCACATGTGCTGTATGTTTTTTCAGGTTTGGTCTACTGGAGACATGACTGTGAAACTGCTCTGGTAAGGGTTAGCAGAGATTGTTTAGCACAGCATTTTCTGCAAGAATTTTCATACCTCGTCATTACAAAGCCATTTTGTGAGATTTATGGTTTAGAAATAATTTAGTTTGACAAGGAAACTTGGTTCTCACTGAGTTTTGCAAAAGGAGCAGCTTGTTATTTAAAATTCTCAATTATAACTATTGAGTAATGCATAGGTCACATTTGTCAACTTGTGCAAACTGCTGAGCAATAAAGCACCTTGCCTTTGATAATTCAAATCATTTAATATATAGTGTTATTCCTTCATGAATCTGAAATAAAACCTTACAAGCAGAAGTAATTTTCTGTTTGGCATTGACAGTGTCCATTATATATAAGTCAATAACATAATAGGTTTTAGTGGGGAAAGTATATTGTTAATAATGCAAGTAAGAAGTAATGCAACATTCTGTGAATGGTTCCATGTGCACACATTGCAGATATTGCACAAGTGATAATGATTTGTGTTTTTGACTTCTTGAGATGATGATGAAACCTCAGACTTTAAACTCCAGAAATACATCAGCAACTCAAGACATGATTTTTGAGCTTCAGAATATGTTATACATGATTTTCCAGTATAGCTGCAAACCTGGAGTACTGTTGTACCTGAAATGCAACAAAAGTTCTTGCTTAGTTACATTGTAACGAATGCACTCTGTATCTACACGAATAAATCCCATGTCACCTCCCATTTGTTATTATGACAGATGTTCCTATATAATGAGGAAGGACGGGTTCTTGGTGCATTTCTGGCAAAGAGTTCAATGCTGGACTTGGGTTTCTGTAGCCAAAAGAATTCTTATCATCAGCAGCACATCCCCGATGTTCCATGATGTAGCCGGTAACTGCACAAGGTGATCTTTGGAAGGTGTGCTTTGCGAAGAACTGGCCGTAACTTAAGGATCCAAGCTGGGTTTGTCCTGATGTCCCCATGCACAATGGGTCCTGCTGTTCATGTACCCTCCCTTCATTCAGTTTTGTAGTGCCCCGAACATTATTCATGCTGTCTGGGCTGGCTTTGTGATGATTTCCATGTTCGTACTGGAGCTCTTTCATACAAATCCTCCTAGTTTGTTCATATGGTGTTTGGATTGGTAAAAGCTGTTGGCTTACCCTTGCCATTGACTTGGCTGCATCACAGTCTGATTTAGCTAACAAAGAATTATTCAAACAGGGTGAAAAACACTTCCCATCATTGCATAATTTCTCCTGAGAATTATGTTTGAACAGTACCTTACACTCTTCCTTGACAACATGCTGTGTGGCCTGAAGTACTTCGATTTTGTTTTGCTTTATCGGATTAATGTAAGGTTCTTCCTTATATTTATTGTTTGGTCTTGATGATGCACAATTTGAGAAGGTGGCAGATGTTCCTCCTTCACAATGCCGTCTATTAGGCAAAGCACCTAAATGAAAAAGAAAGTATTAAGAAATTGTTAAGCACAATGTGCTGGGAATGCAATGGACGTTGAATGAGTACTAAATTGGTGACTGCTGTTTCTAATTAGCTTAGTTTGTTTGGTCAACGTTCAATTATTTTCAGCCTCCCATTAAGGTGCTAGCAAATCAATCTATTCAAGAATCCTAATAAGTATTCCAGTTAGTTTTGCAAAATGAGACTAGTAGTTGATTTATTATTAAAACAGAAATGGTACCATATGTCGTCTCTGGCATTTCAGAACATTGAGAATAATATAGGGAGCTACCGTACCTATTTAATCTTTATAGACATATGTGTCTTGCATCACTCTGTACACTAGCTTGTAAATTCCATCGACATGTATAGGATAACAGATTATCTACAATAAACTATAAGCCAGTAATTAAATTGCGATGTTCTGACAAATGAAAGCAATTTTTTGATGACTCTAGTAACCCATGTAAATGCACAAGATTGAAAAGCAGCTATAATATAATTTTTGAAGCATAAATTTGAATTACTGGTTTTGCAACGTGCTAGATAATAAAAACAATCAATTAACAAAGATGATCGATTTAAATGTTTGTTGCTTAATATTAAAAAGTACTGTAGTAGTTTCTTCCTGTCACAAGGAACTGTGGGGATTCTAAAAATATATTTAAAATAAATAAACATTAAAATACTTTAAATGAATTAAATATTAAAACACTTTAAAGAAAACACATTAAACAAAACATTTTGGGCACAAAGTATAATGGTGAAATTGCTTCATTTCTAGAAAGTGTCAGTTAGTTGTTAACATTAGTAATATCAGAGAGTTTCAGTGACACTTAACGCTCGGTTTAATAGCAAAGAACTTGGGCTATGTCCAGCAAGTTCAAATATAAAGGTTAATTGTTGCAACTTTTCTTCCACATTTGAATGAGAATGACTAAAATAGCTACTTGTAATCTTAGTGGTTATCACTTAACATTGTGTACAGTTACACCATGGGATAATCAACAGTAGGCAACCAACTCAAATACAAATCATGGCATGAACTATTTTTTATGTTATACTTTGAATAAAAACATAGTTGGAATAGTAAAATGTGTTTTAAACTGACATTTTGTCAAATGTTGTGCATGCTGAGCAACTGGAGTTTTATTTAGACATATATATAATCAGAAATAAATTGACAGGAACATGTTAGTTGTGAATCTTCTTTGACATTTCATTATCCAAATTTTTTAATGTTTTCCTTTAATGCATTCTATTTTAATGAATCTCAATGTACAATGTGGTTTTAAAGTAGAACCAATTAATAATTTTTAGAAACTGTGCTGAAGAATTTCAGGAAAGCAGACTACTGACAGGAACTGGACAGCACAGTGACTCAGTGGTTAGCATTGCTGCCTCACAGTGCAAGGGACCTTGGTTCAATTCCACCCTCAGATGACTGTCTGCATAGATTTTGCACATTCTCCCCGTGTCTGTGCGGGTTTCCTCTGGTTTCCTCCCAAAGTCCAAAGATGTGCAGATGAGGTGGATTGCCATGAGAAATGCAGGAATAGGATGGGTCTAGTTGGCATGCTCTTCATGGGTCAGTGTGAACTTGATGGGTCAAATGGTCTGCTTCAACACTGTAGGGATTTTAAATACAATATGCTCTGTTGGATGAGAATTTATAAGAAGGGTCTGATCACCTATGGACAATCCCTAGGCACTATTCAAAGAGCAGTGTGTAATTCTCTTTTATGTCCTGATCAATAATCCTCTCTTAACTAGCACTAGTCAAAGTGAATTAACTTATCACACACTGCATTTGCTGCTTGTGGGATCCAGCTGTAAAAAACACTTAAAAGTGTTGCTATATTTGGCTGTATATCAGAGACTGCACCTAAAATAAATGAGTTGACAGCAAATGAAAACTCTGTGTAAAATATACATGCTTGAATGGCTGTTAGTGAAACAGCATAACTTACACTGATAATTCTGTACAGAGCTGTACTGGGATTCACTGATAGGGTGATCCTGCAGATTCTTTGAGGGAGACTGACTGTGAGCTGATGATGAGCTTGTCAGATGCCAGCAGCTGTCACTAGTTGCCTGAAATGCACCCACATAGAACCTTGCTGTTTCACAAGTTGACCTTTGACTCTGAGCTATCTGACTAGGCGTCATCTGTTTTTTGCTGGCAAGCACTTGAGGGTCCAATGGGAAGTGTCCATAGGTATAGGTGAAAGGGTGTCCATGTGACGAGGCATAAAGCAGTTCATTGTTCTCCTGGTGAGAAGTGCCTTCCTGGGGTGATACAATGTTCAGCATACGGCTTCCTCCCCAACTACTGGTGTGGTCACAATCAGCTTTCTCAGTGTGAAATGAATTATATTGCTGAAAATGTGAAAGAGAGAAAAGGAATGTCAATCTTAAAGGGGGAACAGTATGTCAAAAGGCAAATTTAATCTCATTGTATAACTTTCTCTCAAGCTGTGTTAAAAAAAGAGAATGCATACGTTTTTTGTAAATATCTATATCATACACATTCTCATTTGCATGAAGTTGATTACATTAGATTTTCTAAAGAACATTTTTAAATGGTTCCCTGAATATTAACCAATTTTTGTAAATTCTAAAACCTACAGGAGTTCATTTCCTTCTTTCCCAAATCCTGATGAAATCAGAGACCCGAATTCCAACACATTTATAACTTTTCAACAAGTACCACACAAAAGAAAGCTTTCTCCTCATTTGTGCAAAGACCCAACGAGCCATTGACACAAATCAACTCTGAACTCTGTCTAGAAAAGACATTAAAACCAGTTTCTACGATTCTAATTATTTTACATGATTTTAAAAGGCACAAAGGTAGTCTTCATGAAATTTTAACAAATTTCCTTATCCTCCTTGCAAAGTGCCATTGAATCATCCTTGCACATTGCGTCCTTTCATCTGATTTTTATTACTTTAAAGTAGTCAGCAATCTGTTGCTATGTCATTTAATGTTAAACATGTTGCCAATGGGAAACAGCCAACATTCCATTCAAAGGATGTACAGCATTATCACAGTTCAATTCTCAAAACATGTTAGTTTGTATCCTTATGCAAAAGTAGACTTCTAAAGTATTCACAATGTTGATTTAATTTTTTAAAAAAAGTTTTATTAATACAATTCGATATTGTTATTCTGGTAAGAAAAGTTGTTACATTTTGCAGATTTCAGCACATAATCTAGGCTGAAACTTTGGTCCAAACAGAGGGATAACCCCACAGTTGGCAGAGCAGACATTAAATTAAGACCTTATTGCCTGTATGCTGGCTCCAATAATTCCTTAGGCAATACACCAACATAACAGATTAACTTGTTATTTATTTCTTTATGTGGGACATGGCTGAGCACAAATTGGAAGCGGCTTCTGTTTAAATTATAGCAATGGCTGTACTTCAAAAGTATATAAAAGGGGTAGCAGTGGCATGGCAGTATAGCGGCTGGACTAGCAATCCAGAGCACCAACTTAATGATGACCAGATAACTACAGTCAGTTGCTGTAAAAATACATCTGATTCATTAATATCCTTTAGGGAAGGAAATCTACCTGATCTGGCAGATATTTGACTCCACCCTGTGGACCATTAAAGGGAGGGCAAGCTATCCAATGACACCCACATCCCATAAATGTATTTTTAAAAATTGACTGTGATTTCCTTTGTCCAGAGAGCATGGAAAGCCAATATAAATTCCAATTTGTTCTTTCTTCATTCATTGTTATGGAATGATAGGAAGCGGAAGGGTTCCCATTTCCAGTTGCAATTCAGTAGTGTCTAATTGGGGTGGAGTGCATCTGAGAATGCCTGGTGGGAGCAGGGTTAGGACCAGAAATTGTGCCCTCCGAAGTAAAATGGTCAGCATTCATGATTTGAGCTTGGATACAGGGAGTGACCACTTGTGTGAGGTATCCAGGAACTGTTGAGGCTTTTGGAAGTTGTTCTACTAAGTGTCAGTGATTGATTTGTAAGCTTACAGTGTTTATGTTTTCCAGTTGTAGTAATAGTGGAGAACAAAACATCAGGGACATTTGAAATATGGATAGATGCTATAATGTGCAAGTTGGGCTTGAACACAATGAACTGAATAGCCTTTTCTCCTTACCAACATCCTTGATCCTCTGAACGTTCAGGTTGACATATTCAATCAGAGTTCTAACATAAGTCATTATTATTTAGAAACTAAAGAACAACTTGTAAGGATGAAGAGATGTACCATGTATTAAAACTTTCCAATTTGCAGGATAATGAATGCTCTTCTGCTGTTAGCCTGGTATAACCATTAGCTGCCATCAACCTTCCCACTAGTTTCAAGAAATTGCATGATTTACACTGTAAATGTGAACTAAACTCATTGTAGAAAGTTATGAAGGCTATTTCAAGGGGTTAATAGCCAGTTATTGGGGTAAATTACTGCTCCTGACATGTCACTCAATCCTGGGAGACCCAAATAGGAAATATTTAAATTGTGGAGAGTCATTCCTACAGGTAGCAAATTGTTCCTATAAGTTTATGAATATCAACATTTGAAAAGTTTTTAGAACTTTTCTTTATAGCCTCATCTTTTTCTTTTTCAATCCAAGTTTTCCTTTCCTTCTGTTTCTCCTTCTATATCTGACTTTGATTCATTCAGCATGTTTCCTTCCCCATTGTTCTCTTTATTTTTCTCCTACCTTTAAATATAATTGATGAATATCTGTCCCATCATTTACCAAGGTCCCAAATGTTGATCTTGTTGGTCCATTATTGGCTCACATTTCCAGCATTGTTCACCTGTTTATTTAGGTGCTAAAAGTGCTCTTCATGATCCAAATGATGTCTACAAATCTTAATGCTTTTGCTTCATCTTAATATCTTGAAAATTTGATCAAGTCAGCCTCTAAATTCCAGTGAACAAAACTCTATTTTGTGTAATCTCGCAATTTAAATTTTGGAGTCCAGGACTGAAAAATTGGGATTGTTATTGCTATTTTTTGGATGCGCTTGGAGTTCCAAAATGGTGTCCATGGTGTATAGGGTGAATTGGACCAGACCATGTTGGTGAGGGCATTAGCACATGCTCAGTGAGTGGCTGTTGGAGCTACGTGGGTCAGGCAGAGTATGTTATTAATCAGCATGCAATGCTGATGTGCTGCCAGTGGTGTCACCCTGGAGCTCAAAGCTCAACTAAACATCTTCCTTCACCTCAGACAGCTGAACACACATTCTATAGGAGGAAAGTCCTCACCATGTGCTATTGAAAACGATCATTGACTACTTATATGTTAGCTGCCTGATTGATTTCTTCTGGATGTTGCTACTATTCTAAAAATATTTGGTACTTTTGATTGTTATTTAAAGTTGGTAAAACCGATAAGGGGTGGTGCAGCAGATATTAAAGGAGTTTGACTATAAGCTTTTTTGCAAGCCAGTTGCCACCAAGCAAGGGTGAATTAGTTGACACACTCATTGGAATTCTATCTGGAGAATTTGTTTGTTTCTATGACTGGGGTTGCAGTTATAGGTCAATGTCAAGGTTAACAATCCATTCAATAGCATGGGATACCACAGGATGAATAGCTGTGATCTCACTGGATTCTTAGAACAGGGATTTAGCAAGTGGGCAATGCTGTGACTTGGATGACCACAGTCATTGGTTAGCTGTTCTTTAGTGTTCACATTATCCCTGAACCATTCCCAAACATTTCAGGGTTGTCCGTATTGCCTTTGGAAGTTTGAAACTTGGGACTCTTCTCTGGGGTCAATTGCCAAATGGGGTTGGTGATGTTTGCATCTGTCAGGTGGCACACCAACTAGAGGTAGAGCTGTTGTCAGTTTGTAGATTTTAGAGGGAGTTAAAGTTTAAGCTTTGAATTTTCAAATGTGTATGTGGGGCTTCTGAAGTCCCCTGCTAATGAGAGTGATTTGTTAGCTATTAGTTGGTGATATTCTTTGAATAGGATGTTGTTCTTGCTGACATTTGGAGAATGAACAGAGACCATGCAGAACAAGTCAACACTCATTAGTCCCTAACCATTTATCAAAGCAGAAGATTCTATCTTAAGGGATGTGACTGGTGCAAAGCAGCCAGGTAATTTTCCCCCATACTGACGTGTCACAGTGTCTGTAGCTCTCAAACTCTGAGCTGAAACGCCTCTTACATACTCCACATACTGCAGCCATGTTTTCCCTGGGCCACATTGGCATTCAGGGGCTCCCATATGCTGCAGCTATGACATATTACCCACACTGCCATCCTTAATGGATTTAATTAACTTCTTAATTATTTTATTCAATTATTTATTTTTCTTTCTTTTTATGTATTTTATAACCCTCATCACTATTTCCTATGCTACATTAAACCATTGGAATAGAATAGACCTTAATCACTTAACCAGATACTTACAAAACCTCATCTCTTGCAGTAGATTAAGAACAATGCGCTGTGTACAGCGCTGTTCTTAGTTGATGCCAGATACCTCCAAGCTCCTTGATGTGGACAGCAGGGTTTCTGACAGGATTCTATATTCATCAAAAATTTCCAGGGTATATACCCATCAATATTTTTCTGCAAGCTGCCTTGTGGAAGTGATTGTCTCAATATTCTGCAGTAGAACTTTGTCTGAGCTGATAAGTTGTCAGATACTATCTTTTCCAAGTACTCCGGTTTCAGACCACTTGGACCCAATGTCTCACCAGATGCAGGACCTGCCTCTATGCTATCCTTCAATTTACATGGAGTGCCAGTATCTGGCTTGGTGGCTGTGAATGTTAAATCAAAGAGTCAGTGTACCTTCATCCTCAAAACTTATTATTCTTCTTCCACTGCCTGAGTATCCTAATGGAAAAATACATAAGGGTAAGATAATGTTATGGAGTTGAGGTGGGTAGTAGTAAAGATGGGGAAGAGCTACAGACTTACATCATCTATTGCTTGTCAGTCTGAAGAAATTGTGAAACGAGTAAGGTTAGGAAGAAGAGATGGGCTAGTATGAGGATACTGTCTTTCTGGATGGTCTCAGCCCTTCCACAAGTGACATCACATTAGGAACATGCAATATCTCCTTCACAGGGTTGAGGACATGCAGGCATTCCTGAATCTCCTGCTGCCCCTGTTTGTGTGCCATACTGAATAGGAATGAAGAGGGATGGGTGTCAGTGACTGTGGTGAAGCCTTTTTAGGTGATGTGATGGCTATGGCTGAATAGTTGGTTGCAGTTGTATGCAAGCTGTGAGAAATGGGTATGAAGCTTGCAACAGCACTCAGTCTGTAAGAGTGAACAGAAAAATATGAATACCAGGATTGGTCCCTGATTAATAGGGAATGTTGGGAGGTGAGTGATGGAGTGGGAGCATGGTGGTGTTGAATTGAGAAGTGGCAGAGGAGAGTGGTGTAACTGGTAGGATATGTCATTTGAGAATGCATCGACTGACCTTGAACCTATACGAGATCACTGAACTTTGGCTACACTGTATCCAGCTCCTTTGCCTTGACTCCTAGCATTGATTTTGACATAAGTCTTCTTATTGTCTTTCGACTGTTTATCTGGCCTCCTGTGGACACAAGGTATTTGTCCATTCCACATCCTTTACCAAAACCTCCAAGTGCAAGGGCCATAAAGCTTTGAGCCAGTGCTTTCTCGTGACATTTTTCAATGTCTCCTTGGTCAGATTCATTTATCACATGAGTGCCAATACTTGGTCCAGCCAGAGTTTATTTGCCCTTTCTAACGTGTAAGCTAGCTTTAAACAATGCAGGCTAACTTTAAATAGTGCTGGTTAATCATGATATTGACCCCTGCTAATGTACCCAGTGAATTAGCATTGTGGTTAACACTAGCTGGATGCAGTAATCACTGAATTGAGAGGCAGCATGACATTGGCATGCTTCTTGGAATGCAATCAACAGGTTGGTTAATCATGCCTTCTGCTCATTTTCATGGGCTATTGACTTTAGTCTCCTCTAGTGTTTTTAAAGCTATTATCCTGCCTGGTAAATTATTCCAAATATGTAAAATTACTCCCTATAAGATCACATATTAGATTATTTGAAGATTGTCATGTTGTGTGGCTCTATTCAAGTTACACAGTTTAACTGTTTTCTACATAGCTTCCATTAATGTTAATTCACTGGTCTAGAGCAGTATCAAGTTGCAGAAGGATAGTACAGTACAGAAAGAGGCCATCAGCCACCATGTCTATGCTTTCCAATTAGCCTCACTTTCCTGATTTTCCTATAGCCTTGCAAATGTTTCTCCTTCAAGTTGCTTATGCAATTCCATTTCAAAGTTATTACTGAATCCACATCCACCATCCTTTCAGCTGGTACATTCCAGATCATGACAGTTCAGTGTTAAAAAACAAAAATCAAGAATTTCAGCCCTCCTAGTTTGACTTGGAAGTTTTAAGATGCAGTAAGGGTGGAATGCTACAAACGGCCTCCAGTACTGGAAAGGACAAATATTATCCAGGGTTCAAGTTCCTTTATACTATCAATGAACCACATTCCAAAATGTCCTCCCTGTTCTTTGAAATAAAAAAAGTTCAGACTCAGATATAATCTCTCCATGGTTCAAAAGCTTGCAGCCTGCCAGTAGATGATGGATACTTGGATGAAACAGAATAGAACACTTTCTGTGAATGAGTTACTGTCTTGTGATGAGGAGCATGTAAAAGGTAACCTTTCTTTAAAAAAGACAATAAATATCAGAAACTTGAAAATAATCAGTTTGGAAGTGTTACTGAAAAAGAACTGGGCTACTTTTCAGCTCAGTTCTCAAAACATTAAGTGTTTAATTTTACGTTAAGTGGCAGTCCAATATATGACTATAAATTGGAAGTAGTTTTTCATTAGGAGATGAATATACAGAGCTTCTCTTATTTGAGTCTCTGAAATTATTACTGTGCTGAAAAGCAATGAGAGTTTAAAAATAAACATGGAGCCAACATCTTGCAGATGTCATTTCCATCTCTAACTTCATGTTTGAATATGTAATAAAAAATTCAATATGTGCTGGTTTGGATACCTTATGCTACTGTAAAACAGCATTGTGCATGGCAATAGCCCTTTGTATATCGTGTTCTAATATGATCAGATGTAGGTTTGGGCTTATTATTCTCCACAGTTCTTGCCCTCGGCCAGGCTGTCAGGGAGAAGTAGAAAATACAAGCCAAGTGCATCCCCATAGGGAGTAAGTAAAAGTCAAATGAGTCATCCTGGATGATTTTTGTACACTTCCTATTGCTTTAATCAAGAAAGGCTTTGCCAGAGAGGCCCACAATCAGATCATCTGCTTTTTTTCATCCCATCCTTCAATTTGCACCACACCACATTCCAGTGGGACATGCTACTAGGAAATAGGCCAGAGTAATTCACGGTGACCCTTCCTTTAAGAAAACATCTGCCCTCTGTTCCAGACCTCTCCTTGACAACTGTGCTGTGAATTTATGCAGACATCAATTTTCGTACTTAATGCATAGCAAGCTCAATTCTTCAACATCCTACCATATCTGGACAAGTGGGTAGGGGTCATAGTATTCCATAATATGCACCTGCGGATAAGGAGATGCCTTGAGCTTAGATTTCAACTTGGCAATTTTAGGCTTCAGTTGTTTTTGGCTTTCATGTGAGGTAGGCAGCAGCATCTTATATGGGAATGAGGACTTGGTAGCTGTAGTCTGGTCCAGTGACAATTGTAGTTCTTTGTATTCAACGTCCCTGCAACATAAGATTCAATACCATTATAATGTGTTGTATTAACATTTTATAAAAAAGTAAATATTAGATTGTTCAAAATAAATTAAAAATAGTGCACTGACCATTAAATGCAAATTCATTGACTAGGTCTTTGAAAATAGCAATGAAGGAAATTAAATCCACAAGTGTTCAAACAGCAGTATTAACTGTAAGTAACTGCCAGCTGTACATCCGCTTAATATCCCAATCTGTCTCTTTGGCAGGCACCAGCTGATAGACTTGTCGTGGTCATTTCCTTTTGACCAGGACTGCCTGTCAGACATCTGGAATGTGCCTGGTGTACTGTTGATTTCATCAGATCACGAGTGCTCACAAAGCCCATTTTTGCATATTAAAAAGAATTAAACTGAAAATTTATTGCGCTTTGATGTGCAGCAGGAACTGACTGCTGAGGAGGTGACTTGTTTTACTTCCTGCTGCGTAAAATCACAAGATTGTGAATTCATAGCAAATAATGCTTGGGGAGCTGTATCATCTTATCAAGATGAGTGTTTAATGCCTATTTTTTACATGTATTATTCGTGATTGCTGATATAATGGGATATGATTTAAAGTACTACATTTTGTTAAATGCAGTTTGATTAGCAGGAGTGGGAAATAACAACTCATCGTAATATTTGTATAATAGTAACCTAATAATATTTCTTGAGCATCAGGTAAAATACTTAACTGGCATAGTTAATGAAAAGATGAATTATACAGCCGTACCATAATAATATTGTAGATTTTATTAAATTGACCTGTTCAGACAAACTATGACACACCACTGGAGCTGGTGGGATTTGAACCCAAGCCTTCCAGCACAGAGATAGGGAGACAACTCTCACTGTGTCACAAGAGCCCGAGCAATAATGCTGCATGGTTGACATATATGGACTGTTTGGCACATTACTTGTGAACTGTGCCATGATGAAATGACATTTGGAGGGTAAGAAATTAAAATAGTGTAGAAATGCAAGGATATCTGAGAATATAATTGCATAAATCACAAATAAAGGCATTTCTTTTTAGAGGAATGATATACAATACAAAAACAAGGAGAGAACTTAGATTTATATAGAACCATGGTCAGACCACACGAGGAGTACTGTAAGCAGTTCTAGACTTTGTGCTTTGAAAGGATATGGAAACACTGGAGAACATGCAGAAAGGATTTATAGAGAAGTGACCAAAATTGAGAGGATGTGAATATCAAGAAAAAATGAATATATTGGGGACCTCTTCTCTGGTAAAGAAGGAGATCAAATGGAGATCTGTGAAATTATGCGGAGAAACTGTTTTGACTGTAGGGGCATAACTATCAGAAAGATACTAAACAAAGAACTGAGCAAGTATTCCTTTTTAGTGTTGAGAAATGTGAAAATTGCTGCCACGAGGTGGTTGAGGCAGAGATCGCCGATGTTTCAAGGGGACGTTTGATGCAGATATGATTGAGAAGTTATAAAGGAATATGGGAAGTGACTAGATGAAAACTCTCCAACACCTTCTCTTATCTCTCATTAGACCAATACCCTATCATTGAATATCAAACTATCATTTCTCACATTGTCACTGATCTCACCTCATTTTATCCTATAGCCTCCTAAATTCATAGACCTCAAATCCCACTGTGTCAACTTTTACCACCCTTCTAAGAACCACAAAGAGGACTACTTTGATAGATGCATCATTTAAGCCTACACTTGCCCCTTAACCTAATTCTTTGATTTGACTCCAATCGTTCTCACCCATACACTCTTTGATACTTAATCAAGTTCCTGATCTTAACCAAATAAAAACCAAAAGAACTGCGGATGCTGTAAATCAGGAACAAAAACACAGTTGCTGGAAAAGCTCAGCAGGTCTGGCAGCATCTGTGAAGGAGAAAACAGAGTTAACTTTTCGGGTCCGGTGACCTTTCCTAAGAATGTTCTGACCCTTCCTCAGGGTGTTCTGAGGAAGGGTCACCGGACCCGAAACGTTAACTCTGATTTCTCCTTCACAGATGCTGTCAAACCTGCTGAGCTTTTCCAGCAACTTTGTTTTTTTCCTGATCTTAACCATCTCTTTTTCATGATGTACATTCAATCTCTCCACAGCTTCATCTCTGCCAGCACAGCTTACGGGCTCTTTCTTTCTCCATTAAAAGGAAGCCCATCTGGTTGCCATTTATCACCAGTGTTCCTTTCCCTGCCTGAACTCATTCTGACATTGCTCCATTTATTCGTCTCACTTCTGCAGAATTAAACATTATGAACCCATGTGGATCTTTGCCTTTTCACAGAATATATGGAATATTCTTTGTTTCATTCCTTCATCTCTTTTACTGGTACAGGGGAGGTAGTGGCCTAGTGGTATTATCACTGGACTGTTAATCCGGAGACCCAGGTGATGTTCTGGGGGCCTGGGTTCAAATCCCACCATGGCAGATGGTGGAATTTGAATTCAATAAAATATCTGGAATTAAGAGTCTAATGATGGCCATGAATCCATTGCCAATTGTCAGAAAAACCCATGTGGTTCACTAATGTCCTTTAGGGAAGGAAACTGCCATCCTTACCTGGTCTGGTGGCCTGCATGTGACTCTGGACCCACAGCAATGTGGTTGACTCATAACTGCCCTCTGGGCAATTAGGGATGGGCAATAATTGCTGGCCTGGCCAGCGACACCCTCATCCCATGAATGAATAAAGGAAAATAAAACATTGCTAATTCTCTTCCTGGAGATAGGCTATCAACCAATATCTACTATAAGCCCACTGACTCCTGCAGGTAACACAGGGACATGGGCATTAGGAGCAGGAGTGGACCATTCAGCCCTTTGAGCCCTCTCCACCACTTAACACGATTATGGTTGATCTTGCCCTGGTCTCAACTCCACTTTCCTGCCTGCTCCCCGTAGCCCTTTATTCCACTTTTCATCAGAAACCTCCATTGGACTCTGGGGTAGTGAGTTCCACAGATTCACAACCCTCGGACAGTTTCTCTTCATCTCAGTTCTGAACCTACCTCCTCTCACTCAGTAATATCTATGACCTCTTGTTTGAGACTGTCCCACAAGGGCGAACATCTGTTCAAGTCCACCTAATCAATTCCCTTTAGTATTTTATATACTTCAATCAGATTCCTCCCTTCATTCCTGTGAACTCCAGAGAGTACAGGCCCAAGCTGTTCAATTGTTCCTCATCTGACAGCCCTTAATGACACTTCTTTTTGATGATGCCAATTTTCTATACCAATGTTTTCAATATGTGTTCTTTTCCCCATTCTTCCATCAGCTCTCCTTACCATGGAACTTGCCTATGGAAATACTCAAAATGCAACTCCTTCCTTTCACCTCCTTCCTTCCCACTGCCTGAATTCTAAAACATTCCTTCCGAATGAAACAGCAGTTTGCTTATACAGCCTTCTGATTGATTTGTAGAACAGCTCTGTTCAGTCTACAAAAGTGATTCTGAGCTTTTGGTTGCTTGCAGCTTTGAGTCTCTTCCCCCTTTCCACTCCGATCACTCTAACTCAGCCTTCTACATTGTTCCAGTGAAATTCAGTAGCAACTTCGAGAACAGAACCATATCTTTCAATAAGAACTTTAAAGCTTTGCAGACTCAACATAGAGTTTAAAACTTTCAACAAATAACTACTTTTTCAGACAACAGGTAATCACAGAAATGTTACAAAGCAGAAGGAGGCCATTTGGCCCATTGTGTCTGCCCCAGCTTTCTGAGCACTTTAGCTAAGTATCATTCTCCTGCCTATCCATGTAATGCTGCACATCGTTTCCAATTTAACCATCCAACAGCTTCGTGAATGCCTCAATTAAACCAAAACTCATCACATTTCCAGGCAGTGCATTTCCAGATCTGAATCACTCACTGTGTGAAAAAGATTTGCTCACTTCCCATGTGCTTCTGTTGCAAGACACTCCAAAACTGTGCCACCTGGTTTTTGATCCATTTACAAGCATCCTATTAACTGTTGAGATGCCTCATGATTTTGAAAATTTGTATCAAATTTCCTTATATCCTTCTCCTCTTCAAGAAAAAGTGTCAACTTCTCCAAGTTTTCGTCATAACTGAAGTGTCTCATCCATGGAACCTCTTTTGAAGTTTATCCAATGCATTCACATCCTTCATATCGTGCAAAGCACAGTGTTCCAACTGAGGTCTAATGAGTGTATTATATAAGTTCATCATAACCTCCTTGCTCTTGTACTCTATGCACATATGTTTGAAGCCTAGAATACTGTATCATTTATTAACAGCTCTCTCTATCTGTCCTGCCATCTTTAATGACCAACATACATGCAAAGACAAGTCTCTGTTCTTCTGTACACCCTTTAGTACAGTAACTTATATTTTATACTGTCTTTCCATGTTCTTTTTACCAAAGTGCATCACCTCTCACTTTTCTGCGATGAACTTCATCTGTCACCTATCTGTCCACTCTATCAAAATGTTAATGGCCTTTTGAAGTTCTACCATGTCCTCTTCACAGTTTACAATTCCCCAAAATTTTGTGCTAAATGTAAACTTTGAAATTGTCCCCTGCAATATCATGAAAAATAAGAGCACCAATACCAACCCTTGGGACATTGGGACTCTTACTTTTCATGATTTTATAACTCTGTTACAACTTTCTTCCAGTCAAAAAACTACTAATTAACCATAACTCTCTGTTTGCTATCCCTCTGTTTGTATTAATGTTGCTACTGCTCATTTTATTCCAAGACCGAAAACTTTCCTCACAAGACTGTCATGTAGATCTGTATTAAAAGCCTTTTGGAAGTCTCTGCACACCACATCGACATCCTTCCTTCATCAACTGTTTCTACTGCCACTTTAAAATACTCCATTAAATTAGTTAGACAAAATTTTCCCTTAATAAATCCATGTTGACTCTTCTATTCCAAATAATTGTTTCTAGAAGCTCCCCCATCAAAGAATAAAGAACAGTACAGCACAGGAACAGGCCTTTCGGCCCAC